TTACTTTAATTCTGGCAGTACGATAACTATCAAATTGGGAGTTTTACTACATTTTGCCAACTCAAATACCACTTGAAATAAGTAGGTCCCCAGCTGTCACCCAGAGATTTTCACTTTATTTTTCATAATTGAATCTGACCTAAACAGCACCTTTCGCTTGAATAGTTTATGTCTCCATCATGTTACTCCTGTTTTACACACAGGATTAATGAAATATAAAAAATTAAGTGATTAATCCTGGTTAGAGAACCACTTCTGAAAGCTGAAGGGCATTGTCAATTACTGCTTTTTCGATCCTCCAGGTTAACTTAATAAATTCTTTCAGCCATCCATTTATTCAATAAATATTTGACTGTCTACGATGAACTCATTAGTTTGGTATCATTTCACACTTGATTCATTTAATCCTAGCCAGAGATTAGTTTCTCAAATGGGAAATTTATTCAAAGCCAAAGAAAGGTAGCATAGAGCAGAGAGACTACATATTCCAGCATGCAATAGTCCCATGGAATCTGCGTTGTCAATTTCTGGAGCTTAACTCAGTCTCTCTCCATTTGGACCGCTCTGACGCTGCTCAGGCCCTCACGCTACGAAGTGAGACATAATCCCTCTGATCCCACACCGCCAGTACCGCCTGCCAACATCCCACCCTCCGCACTGACGTGTCATGGGGCAGGTGCGTCCTAATCCCAGGACTCCTTAAAGAACCTGAACGGCTTCTCCGTGGGTACTGCTTTCCGGAGGGGGTAGCAATCAACAAGTGTCTCCATTTGCCAAGGCTTCCCTCCGCGCCCGCCCCCCCCCCGCGCCAATTTTAGATGCTGCAACGGCTCACCTCAACCTATGCTCACTGCTTTTGATAAAATCCCTCGAGGGGGGTAAGATTGGCTCAATGTCCTCAGCGAACCAAGAAGAGGCATTCTTCTCTGCTGTACTGCACACCCGCGTTTCCTCACATCTGGTCCCGGCTACGGGGGAGTTCAGCAGGAAGGAACCCGGGGAGCGGTCAGGGCTGGCACCCGCTCCACTCCCGCTCAGGCCAAGGGCCCTACAGTGGGTGGCGGCCGAGCAGCTCCCACTCCTCCCAGTCTCCACTTCCCGCTCTCTAGGGGCTCCCCCCAGGCCTAGCCCCTTCTGCACACCGCACTCCCGCCTCGAAGTGTCCCTCCGAGCCCCCTCCCGGGTTACCATGCTGGCGGGGCAGCCGGCCGCGGTCGAGGGGCTCTCTGCGCCCCCTCTGCACCGCTCCCCCGAGGAGGTGTGCTGGGTGTCCGGGTGTCTACTCCTGCCCGTCTGCTGCAACCGGGCTTAGTAGAGTTCTCGGTCGGAGAAGCGCACCAGGCAGCGGCAATAACTGCGGGCCCGGCGTACGGCAGCCATCTTCGCGGGGCAGGGGGCCAGATCCGGGCGCGCTACAGCGACGGCCGGGAAGTCGCGGAGCAGAGGGACGCCCGCTGCCAGCGGAGGCCGAGGACCGGGCAAACACCAGAACGTCGGCGCTGCTGGAAACCTCGGACGCCGCGGCGGAGCTGCCCCCTCTACTGCGGAAACCTGTGCCGACGCACTGAGCATGCGCAGTACCGCACTGCCTGCGTGCGCTGCCTAGTGGAGGGGTCGGTGGTGCGGGCCTACTGTGTGCGCAAATCGGAATTGGCAGTCAGGTCACCAATTTGCTAACCCCCAAATTTAACCCACGTATTTGTCTCAGTGACCCCTTGTGCAAACTTGAACCACCATTATCTAAATGATGTGTATAACTCAAATTTAGGGTTGAGACCCTAAGGCAAACATCCCTTGAAGAGCCCTGAACTTGGTGCTCCGGTAGGTCGCTACACGCTTTTCGGGGGTTGTCTAAGAGTCCCACGCCAGGAATGCAGGGAAATAGTGAAACTCCACTATAGTCGCAGGCTGTTACAATGACTAAACTTTTTGAAAGCACGGATCTGGAGGTTGAGGAAAAGATAGGCTTAGGAGAGAAGCAAGAGGAAAATAAAGCCACCGCAAGGCATGTCTTACTACAGATCCCATCATGCAACGGGAGAAAGACATTGAGGCGGCTCCTAAGGCCCTGAAACCCGAGTCCTGCTGAGACGGGGCTCGAGATGTACTCTGGGATTTGTAGTCCGCTGTTTCTCTTAAAGTGCCAGAACTTACCCGCGATACTAGCCCTGCCTCTTAAAGCCCAACACCTGACTTTGTTTCCTAAGAAGACACTCTTATTTATCAGGCAATTTATTATTTTTCCACACTTTACATTATTTTCATCACGGAAGTTTGCATGCTCTGTGAAAACCTACAGTCTTACAGCTTCTTACCTTCATTCGGCGAACATATACTGAGTTTCCATGATTTCTACCAGGCGTCAGGTACTAGCAGTGATCAGGTTTCCAAGACTCTAGTTCATCGAGCCCACAGAGTTTAAATCTCTTATGCATTATTTTATTCTGGAGATATTAGAAATGCAATACATCTTCGGCAGAAAAATAGACTAATAAAGGGGGGGTGGCAAAATGGTGAGCTGCTTTCTTTTAATATTAGGATCCACCCTTCGGATAGGTGTTTTTATTTGCTCCCTAAATCAGCTACCTAGAAAAAGTAACTTCATGTTTAACGAAGGCCAAAAAATTTAAGTTTTTAATTTTTAAAGGAAACTTAAGCCTTTTAAAGATGACTTTCCTCCCAATGACCTCTTTAAAATTGGATTTTGCAATTTAAATGGGGGGGAAAGGTCAGATGTTAGGATTTATAATTGAAGAAAATGATGTATGTAACTCAACACAAAAAATCAGTTTCGCAAATGAACAATGAGGTATTGAAATGTTTTCAGAACTACTCAATTTCATTAAACGTGTTGAATGCTAATTTAAGATATCTCGGTTAATTAATACAGATGATTTCTATTCCAGCTAATAATAAAGCTTAATAAAATAAAATTAGCATTCATAATGATAAATTAAGCACCTATTTTATTAAAATGCCACTATGGGGGCACCTAGGTGGCTCAGTCAGTGAAGCGTCTGCCTTCAGCTCAGGTCATGATCCTGGGGTCCTGAGATCTATCCCTCATTGGGCTCCCTGCTCAGTGGAGAGCCTGCTTCTCCCTCTCCCTCTGCTGCTCCCCCTGCTTGTGCTCTCTCTCTCTGTCTCTCTGTCAAATAAATGAATAAAATCATAAATAAATAAACAGAAAGATAGATAAATAAATTGCTGTTTTGTTTCAGTTACTAATGTTCTATTTTAGACCAGACTTCAGGTTTGTGTTATTCTATCATATTATGTTTACAGGATTGTAATTTTCCTGACCTAAATCACTTACTAACTCAGTGGACCCTTGTTAAAGGTAGACCAAGAGAGTCCCTGTATTTGCTGGGTAGACTTGCTTGGACAACTGGATTTGACTAAAACTGGTAATTTTAGAAACTTTAAAAATCACTTTTCATGGGAGCAGTATATAATTTGTTAGGTTACCCCTCTTGTCTCCCTATCTTTTCACTGATAAAGACTTTCAATTTTCATTTGCCATATGGTTTGGCGGGTGTTAATATGGATAAACACAAAGATAGATACATGTTATACATTTGCCAAGTGGCCAGATGATCCTTTCCCATCTGGGACAGGAAGTCTTGTATCTTGTGGGTTTCTTCAATAGGAGCAAGAAGAGAGAGGGATTCAGGTCTTTGTCATAGATTCTATTAGGAAAAAACAATGCCTTGAGTTCTTAGAATTCAAAAATAAAAGGAGAGAAAATCGATATCGTGATGAGCTGGAGAATTTAAACTCAGCTAAGATCCACAGTGTGTAAACGGACTATTCCTTTATGGATTAAAATTGTGTTGCTTCGGGCAGTGTGGTTCCCTGGACCAGAAGCATTAGCAGCAGAATTCTGGGAATAAGGCCCAGCAATCTGTTTCCCCAAGCCCTCAGATGATTCTGATGCCTCCAACTAAAGTTGCCCCCTCTGCTATGGGCATTAAACTAGTTCTGAAAAATATAAAGTTTTGGGGCAATTCTGTAAATTTAAATATTTTATTTATTTACTCTTATTTTGACAGAGAGAGAGGGAACACAAGCAGAGGGGATGGGAGAGAGAGAAGCAGGCCCACCGCGGAACAGGGAGCCCAATGCGGGACTCGATTCCAGGACGCTGGGATCATGACCTGAGCCGAAGGCAAATGCTTAACCGACTGAGCCGCCCAGGTGCCCCTCTGTAAGTCTAAATCGGGGGCCTTTAAGCAGTTTCTTTTTTCAAGTCACTTCATAACCAGTCCTTATGTGGATGATTTAAGGTAATGTCTAAATATAATTTATGACACGAGTGTTTAACATACAAGTATAAGTGTTAGATTACATATAACTAGTTACACACAGAGGACAATTGTTGCGTAGATCATAGCTAGTCCGTTTCCCACCTGGATGACAATCCAGTCTAACAAATAAAGTTGCTAACCATAGAACTCTTCAAGTTCAAACGAATGCTATCGGGCAATCCGTTGCGTTTTGATTTTAAAATACTATTGCGGTAATACAGAATCTGCCATCTTAACCATGTTTGGAGTGTACATTTCAGTGGCATTGACTTCATTCACAGTGTCGTGCATCCCCGGTTACGCTTTTTTTTAAAAGCCGGGAAAAGGTTTTCACCACGTTTACCTGTAATGAAATGTACTCAGAACGTGGGTGCACCGCCTCCATTTCTAAATCTTGATACCTGATGCAGCCGACCTGCAAAAAGGCGTGCGTGTGGAGCTGGGGGGCGCACAGGCGGTCAGCGGGCCGCAGGGATCCCTGGGCTCGGTCGGTCCCGGCGGGGAGCGCAGCGCCGCGGCTCGGCGCCCCCGGGCGGCCTGGACGCGGTGCAGGGACGCGCAGGGCCAGCGAGGGGAGCTGCAGGGTAACTTTTCCCAGGGAAAGCGGCCGGTCGTCCCCGCTAGAAGCCTCCCTGCCTTTTGTTTGTTTTTCTGCCGGAGGCTGGAGAGCGGCCGGGTTCCTGCTGCTCCACCATGCGCCGCGCGGCCCGTGCGACTCGCCGGACCTCCCGGGCGTCCCTGCACGGACCGCTCGGTCTGTCCTAGCAGCGATCGCCCCCATCCCCAGTTCCCCTGCGGGCCGCTGCGCCCCAGTCGCCGAGGAGCTGCGCTCACCGCAGGGGCGGGCCCCCGCCTGGGTTCGCGGCGCCAGTAAGTGGGGCCAGGGATTTAGGGGCTTCTGCTGGACGACCTGTCACTGGGGGTGAAGGACTGGAGCTGCGGAGGGACTGTTCTCGGGGCTCCCGCGAGGGGCTGCAAGGAGAGGGAGAGGCTAATGGGCTGTAGTTTCTCTCCGCGGTCATGTGGCTCTCTTCCCCTCGGCAGGAAAACTCCGGGTTGCTCGGAGTCTGGAAGATTTTAATGGGTGTTTACCTTTCGGTGTTAGAGAGGGGAAAGACCCTTGCCGGGTTTGAAGCCCCTTTAGTAGGATGTGGAGGACTTGGTCTTGGAATTTTCCTGACTAGGCCTGTGGCTGTCCCACATGGGGTGTTAGCAGGAATCCTCCCACATTTATGTGCAACCATTTTTCACTGGGTTTCTTTCTGCTCTGATTTCTTCTTACTCATCTGAGTAGATGTTATGAGAGGGATGTTGAAGGATTTTTCCAGAGCAGCCGTTTCTTTCGAAATGTGCCTTTTCAAGTCTGACTTGGACACTGACATTGAGGGCTTTTACTTTTACTTTTAAATATAAAAGTAGTTGAAGGCATCATTCTGCAGAAAAGAGTATTCATTTCTACTTATAATTAAGTAAAGATCTGCTTTTGCTAAAGCTGGGCTATGCTGAGAGAATACTGCCTTGAATTTTGCATGCAAGTCTAGATTTCTCCAAGGTATTGGGACTTGTGTTTTTTATTTTGGCCCAGAGCACTCTTTGTAGCAATAGAAGTTTGATAGCTACACTCTTCATTTCTTGCATTTTTCCTGTGAGTAGGCTTTCAGGATGTGCCCCAATAGTGAATTGTACTGTTGCTGAATGTAAAATTAAAAAGCTTAAAATTTGTGTAGTCAACATATAAATTATTTAAAAAAATTGTGTCCCAGCCATATGCTAGCTGTACTGGGAGTTAATGTATGCATAGATATGCAATTTGAAATCGTTTCTGGACAAAGCACTGCAATTTGGTAAAGAATCCTTTTTTTTTTTTTTTTGGTAAAGACTCTTTAAGACCTTCCTATCTATCTGAGGACCAGTAATTGTAATACACTAGGAAGTGGGTGTAGAAATGAGAGCAGTTCTGGAATCCTCTATTTAAAATGATATCCTGTACCATTGCCCCCTCCCTAAGGTCCAGCCCCCTATGTGACCCGGCCTACTTTCTGTTTCCACTTTGCCTTGCCCCTTCTCCAAAGTCAAAGCTGTTGGCTGGGCAGGAGTGGGCAGCCCCGTTTCTGAGTGAGATCGGTTTAGTTTTAGATGATGGAGGGATGTGTTGGAGGATTGATGGAGCCTGTCTGAGTAGGCAGAGGTCTGTGCTCCTTGCCAAGGGAACTCAGCATTTAGTCACACAGAAGTGGTTTTTCTCACTGAAGTTTCTTACCTACAGACTAGGTGTAAACGACCTCTCAGGATAAAGAACAGGTCTTTGGGGGTTTTGTTGACTGTGCAACACCATCAAAGCTCTTTTTATACTTTCATTGTTTTCTTCTCAGTGCCTTTTGAGGTTCCCAGTAAAGGTGGAAAGTCATGTCAATCTTGAACCTTTGGAATTATCTTTAACCATCTTTTCCTTCATCCTTTGTAACAGTGAGTCACCAAGACCTTTGAAATGTGATTTATACAGATCCCTCCCTCCATATGCTAATGGGTAGAATTAGAATTCTTTTTTTTTTTAAGATTTTATTTATTTATTTATTTGACAGAGAGAGACACAGCGAGAGAGGGAACACAAGCAGCGGGAGTGGGAGAGGGAGAAGCAGGCTTCCCGCGGAGCAGGGAGCCCGATGCGGGGCTCGATCCCAGGACCCTGGGATCATGACCTGAGCCGAAGGCAGACGCTTAATGACTGAGCCACCCAGGTGCCCTAGAATTAGAATTCTAATTCACCTCACCCTTCCTCTCCTGCAGACTGGAGCAGACTCAGCTGGCCACCCAAGCCTGGCTCTTAATTAAGTCCTCAGTATCTGTTTGCTAAATGAATGAATGGATGAATGAACGAGACGCTCCCCTTTCTGTTCTCTTCAGCATTTGTTGTCTGTCTAATTTTTCTAAACTATCACTTCCTCGACTCTTCCCTTGCCTTTCAACCTGGTTCCTCTCCATTCGCTATCTCAGGTCTAAAATAATTTGCCTGGTTTTTCAAGGCCTTCATAATCAGGCCTCACCCCTCTATCTAAATCCTATTTTCAGCTCAGCGTACATCCCCTGCTCTATGTGGTTTGGTCTTGCCGTCCTGCTAAGGGGGCCCGGCTCATTCCCACTGCAGTGTCACTGCCCACACTGCTCCCCTAGAAACTCCCTCCTTCCTCACCACTCTCCCGGGCAAGTCTTACCCATCCTCTTGAGAAGGAGCCTACACGCGCCTTCTTCCCTAATGTCTTCTCTAGCTACTCATTTCTCTTCTCTTTCTTTATTTTTTTTAAGCTTTTTTTTTTTTTTAAAGTAATCTCTACGCCCAACGCGGTATCTTTTTTCACGACCCTGAGATCAACATTCCCACACTCTCCAGACTGAGCCAGCCAGGTGCCCCTCTCTTCTCTTTCTTTAACGTCTTAAGGTACTTGTTTGTTAATCCTTCATTATATTGGCTGTATTGATCTCTAATTGGTTTAGGTTATTTTAAGCCTCTTCAGGGCAGAAGCCATAGTTTAGGCTGGTAATGTGGTGTCTTGGGCTTTGGAGTCAGGCAGAATTGCGGTCAGGGCCTGACTCCACTTATTACTCCTGTGGCCTTCCCCTAGCATTTGAAAAGAGGGGAAATGCCTCCCGCAGCAGGTGGTGGTGTGAAGGTGGTCGACAGTGCCTCCACAGGGCCTGAAATACGCCTAACTAAAATCTACTCATCCCTCCGCAGTGACTCAGTGACTCAAAGAGGCCTGAACATTTAGGACATATTTGGTAGGTATTTGTTGACTGACTTGTAGTCTACTACAAGTCATGGCTCAGCCTGGAGGCCCAGAGGACAGGGCAACCGTGCAGCAAATCCTCCGTGAGTGTTATCCTGCCCTTACTTAACATGGCTTGAGCTGAGGTTATTCCTGGCTACAGCTCTGCTTCTGGGATCTGTTGCTGTTTTTCCATCTGAACCTTGCCAGGAACGCTACTGCTTCTAGTTGTGTGTGTGTGTGTGTGTGTGTGTGTGTTTCTCTCACTGCTTCTCCTGCAGAAAGCTCCTCCCTTTTGTTTTGCAGGATCTTGCTGAGTTGGAGTTGTACCTAGCCCTTCTATTTTTCTACTTGTGGGGTATGTGTGAGTATCTGTATTTATGGCAGGACTCCTTGCGTGGTGCTTTCTTGGAAAAATTCTGGGTACAGTGACCTTTCTGTGTATGCTGATCTGTCAGCCTGTGAGGAGAGTCCCACTTAAATCTAATTCTCTCATTGGCAGTCTTTGCCAAACCACAGCATCCTGAGGGGGGCGTACCACTGGAGGACTAGAAATCTCCTCTCTGCAGACCTCAGTGCGTGTGGCTGGGAGAATGCGTAGAGGTGTACGCATGATTTACACACATACACACATGTTCTTTGGGGGTTAGGATGCAGCCATATCCTAGGTTGTGACTTCGCTTAGCCCAAAACAGCTCTATGTTGTTATCCATACACATGTGTTCTGGAAAATTACCTCATAAAAGCAACTTGGTAAAGCAAGTTATTTTGTGGGGCAAATTGCATTACAATGCTGAGTGTTATGGCAGGAAGAAATCAGAGATGTCTTTACTCGCAGCCAAAGAAGTAAAAGAAGCAGCACAGGTCTTCTCAAGATGGTAAGGAAGGTTGATGTGGACATTCACACTCACCCTCTGCTCCTAGTGAGGGGCTATATGATGTTCGGAACATACTATTCAGCTGGTCCTAGGGAAATACTTAATCCAAGTGGAAAGCTTCCATTCCTGGGGTGCCTGCATGGCTCAGTCGTTAAGCATCTGCCCTCAGGTCACGATCCCAGGGTCCTGGGATCACATCGGGCTCCCTGCTCGGTGGGAAGCCTGCTTCTCCCTCTCCCCCTTCCCCTGCTTGTGTCCCCTCTCTCACAGTGTCTCTCTCTGTCAAATAAATAAAATCTTTAAAAAGAAATATACTACTCTGAAGATAACAAAGATTCTATTCATATTAATTGGGTCTCTGATCTCATCCGTAAAGTGAAGGTATCAGATCATCATTAAAGTCCCTTATAGGAAAAAAAAAAATCTAATTCTGTAGTCTAAAGTTTCCTCAACCTTATGCTATGTCTGCTATATATGCGGTATGTTGAATTTAGGTCCCATTGAACTTAGTTAGCATTCAATCTATACTGATTAGTATTGGGCTATATATTACTATAAATTTTTCTGGAATTTTAAGTTTGTCATCTTAACTCAATTTTTAAAATGGAAGGGCCATGGGGCGCCTGAGTGGCTCAGTCGTTAAGCGTCTGCCTTCGGCTCAGGTCATGATCCCAGGGTCCTGGGATCGAGCCCCGCATCGGGCTCCCTGCTCCATGGGAAGCCTGCCTCCAGAACTCTCCCACTCCCTCTGCTTGTGTTCCCTCTTTTGCTGTGTCTCTCTCTGTCAAATAAATAAATAAAAGTTTTAAGAAAATAAATAAATAAAATGGAAGGGCCTCAGTAGTGCCTCACATTTCCTTTGGTACTTTTTCTACCTTGCCCAGGGCTGTTAGTAGCCACTTGATAAATGGACAGTGACAGCCAAGAACTTGTGGGAGCCCCATATTTGTGAGGAAAGAAAGATCAATGTGAGTCATTTTACCTTCCTGTAGGTGTAATATGACCTGTGATAAAGTGCTGATAACGAGTGACTGCCCTCTTGGTTACTATGGAAGATAATGTCCCAGAGCCAAAGGTAAAGTATTATGGTGTAATGTCCAACTACATATTGGACAATATCATGAAAGTACTATCTGCATGAGCTTGTAGTTCCCAGAAGATAACAATGGTTTTGGCCTCTTGGATGTTGCCTTTGCTCTGAAAGTAAATTTATTAAAGAGTGATTTAACTCGGACAAAACTGAGTGAGAAAAAAGATACGTATTCCTTCATGTTATCTTAGCTGTTAAAAAAACAAATGTTTGGGGCACCTGCGTGACTCAGTCGTTAAGCATCTGCCTTCGGCTCGGGTCATGATCCCGGGGTCCTGAGATCGAGCTCCACATCGGGCTCCCTGCTCTGCGGGGAGCCTGCGTCTCCTTCTGCCTCTCTCTCTGTCTCTCATGAATAAATAAATAAAATCTCTTAAAAAATTTAAAAAAACACGAATGTTTTTGTACATTTGTGTAAAAATTCGTAGAAGGCTTCATAATTTTTGTGCCCTGGCCCCCATATAATCATTTAGTCTTGCACAGAAAGGGAGGCCCAAGGGGATGGGATGGCAGTGGGGATGCAGATGGTGGTACAGGAAAGTCACCAGTAGTGACAATTACCCTTTACAGACCCATAATGTGCTCATTCATTAATTTATTCATTCAACGGATGTTTATCGTGAGCAGCTATTTTGTGCCAACTGCATGCCAGGTCCACATCTAGGTACTGGGAATAGAGTTATGAACTTAATAAAAATTCTGCCCTCAAGGCATTTATATTCTCAGGAGAAACCCAGTTTGTATAACCCCATAACCTCTATAACCCCGTGGTACACAAGGCTTATATGGAGAGGGCTAAAATGTTCATTTCTGTGCAGAT